TCCAATTCACAGCTGTTCTGAAGCATCGGAGCCTATTTGATGTTATCAACATGAGAATGTGTCGTTCTGTTCCAGCAGGATCCATTAAGAATCACGTCACGATCAATAAGGAAAAAGGAAAGGTGGAGACCTCAGCTGAACGGTTCAAGTGTTTGTCAGGAAATGGCTTTTTTTTTTTTTTTTACAAGCAGAGCGTGTGACACCAAAGAGCGTTTGGGGTTTCACTCCTACGCATGCATAGTGTCCACCTTACTGAGATGGAAACTGTGCGTGCAGATAAGCGTGTCTGCTCTCACGGGTTCATTTGCGAGACGTGTTGGGGTCCTGAGGGGACAGGCGTGGTCGTTTCTTGGATCTGGCCTGACAGCTTTTGGTCGTCAGATGTGCTGAAAATGGCCCTAAATGTATTATAAAAAGCACATCTCACTTTTAAAGCATTCTTCCTGAGTCACGCAGCATTTATACTTACACTCAGTTGTTTGAGGACACATGGATTATCATATAAACTGTTGGATGGAGAGTTAATACAGTTTTATCCAATGGTCTTCCAATCCTGCACATTAAACTTCAAGCAGACAAATTTCTCATAGGGCTTAATTGGGTTTCTGTGATCTGTGTCTTAATGGGTTCAATTTATGATTACTATTAAGTGACAAATAACATAAAAAAACACTAAAGCAACCCTGTTTTCTTGAAAATATTCACACTTCTAATCCCTTCTATTCAGTCTTATTCATTTCTGGACAGAAGTTACCCACTTGACCACTTTCTCCCTCTAACTCCTTTGAGATATTTCCCACAAAACCCATCAGAAAAACCCTTGATTGGCACTCCTATTATCAAGTACTTCAGTTTCCCTCGTCCGTAGTTCAACCATGCACAACTAACGTCCATTACATAGGAACAGTTTTATCATGTGTCTGATATTATGTTGTTAAAAGATACGATCCAGAATGTAACAGCCAATTACTGCACAGATGGTCATCTGTTGAAACGGGAAAAAAACAAAGCCGACAATTGGAATGGAAGGAATTCAAGAAGCAGATTTAACTGTTGTGTGTTTGCACATATGGAAGAATAAGATTTGTGAGAATGGCATTGCGTTTCTTAACAATCTCACAAACTTTTAACCTGATTATGTTGGCCCTTTGCAAAAGGTCAGCAAACTCTGGGAATGTGAACAAAGTCCAATTTCAAAATCCATTGTTTGAGTTTTCAGTGTTGCAATTCCCATTCTCTGTGTCCATTTTCTCTAAAAGGGTCCTCTGTTTGTTGCATGCAAACAGTTTACTTTAGTTTGTCTTTGGACGTCAACATTGACCATGAGCTGGATGTTTTTGCTGGGACATGTCCTGCTGTTTCTCATTTTTTTGTTTTTTTGGGCCTTTGAACTGTGATCATCGTGGGAAGGCGTGAGGGCAGTCTGGGAACATCTGGAGGCGTGGACATTATTTGTCAAAAAGCCAAGCTTCATCTGTTAGTCCAGAAAGAGACATGGGATAGATTAAGAACGGTCACTTTTCCATTATTCCCCATTTTTAACAAGACACACCAGCACACAGTAAAAAAATATGTAATTCATAATTTAAAAAACTCCACATACATGAAAAACATCTTCAAGTGGCCCCACTCCTGTGGGAATTGTAAGGGCCTCCTTTCTATCTACTGCTAGCTGTTACAGTGTCAACCCAACATTCATTTCCAAGAAAGCAAAAATCCCTCCAGACAATCCCTACTGACGAAGCAGCATGAAATGTCGGTTTTGTGTAAATACACATCTGGAAAGACGGGGCCAGAGTTCAGCTAGCGTTTTGAGTTTATCTCTTTCAGAATGAAAGTTAGTTAAAAGGATGATGATTTTGTCCACACATTACAGCGACCTCCGGCATTCACTACCTGACGAAATGCAAAAAAATCCTGTTGAGCTTCTTGGGGGAACATGGATGTCTATCCGTCAGGTAACTGCACAAAGACACACACCTCAGGCTTTGCAGAAATCCAGAGACTGCATAAAAAAGGAAAAACCAGGACCTGCACTCAATCCGATGGCCAGCAGAAGGCGTACCGTTGCTGTAAACAATCATTAGCCGAGAAGCAAAGTTAAATCTCTATTACTCTAGACGCAAGAAAGGCCTTCTTTTTTATTTTGAATCATTGTTTTCTACTAACTAGACAGTCTTGAATCATTTACCATACAACTCTGACTTGAAACAAACAAGTAAGTTCCAGCTATGTGCTACCAAAATTACTGGGCAATCAATGGCACTCCAGCTTCACATAAGCGTGTGTAAATTGTCTAAATTTCCCAAATGTTAGAATGCAGCATCTCATTAGAAGCCCAGAAATGGGCACCTTATCAACTGCTTCTAAGCTAGGTAGAATTGATTTATTAATCAAACAAAGTTCAGGGCTGTACAAGAGACCCTGCAACCTCATGCATTGCTGCCTTACTGCGCCACTTTACTTTCACCAGTTGGCCTCATAGCAAACACCATCTAATCTAAAAGAAAGTGGTTTAATCCATTGTCTTTCAAATGTTGTCTTTATTGCATCCTTCAAGAAATCTAGACCCAGTGTTCTCACATAGGGAAACACATTTTTTATACACTACTACTACTTACTGTAGAATGCTAATAATTTGGAATAATTTGGAATAATTTGGACCTTCTGATCTCAAATTGCAATTGAACATTTTAATACATACATTTTAAATCCAAAAACAATCCCACCCTTCTCATATGGGGAAAAAATGCTTCTCGTGCTATGACAGAGTCAATCTATTCAAAGTATTAGGCAATGCTAACCCCACCTGACTGTGATAAAGCAAAACTGCACAGCAAAAAGAAAAAAGTTTGGGCCTCAGGAGGTTAAAATGGTGCAGAGTGATCCGCCTGTTACGGTCAGGGGCAACAGTTTGCCGACTGAGTCAAGTACGAGCTGCTAAATTCTTGGTATTAATATCAGTTAGTTGTTTTTGACATTTTTAGGGACTTTTTAGAATAGTGCATGTCATCGCGGACTTCCCCGCACATTCAGTACCCTCGAGTGTCTTCAAAATAAAGATAACTTTATCTATGTGCCTCTCTTTTCATACCACCACACGGTATCTTTACATCAGCAGTCATGCATAATTTTTTTTTCAGTCTGCAGATTAACCACACCGGCCTGTGTGGGTGCAACATTATGCCTTTCTAATGTTCTTTTCTGCCAAAAAAATGTCTCCATGAGCTCATTAAGGGAGTTCGGGTGTAGCAGAGAACCGGGATTTCAACACATTTGTCAGCTCTTGTAACTGTCCACTGGATGAACCTATCCTCCCATATCAAATAAACCTCTCTTCTTTCACTTTCTTTATTTTATCTTTGCTCCCTTTTTTAAAATGAAGATTTATGGAGAAACACATTCTTATTTATAATGGTTGACGTTTTCCTGTTCCACAGTCCCCACAAACATGGGGCTCTGTTAATGAGCTTTGGTTTTTCACATCTTCAACTCAGTTTACAATAGGCGGAACTTTAAAGGACTTAACCAGACCTTTAAAGTCAGATTTCAAAGTCTTGACACGCAGGTATAAGGGCAAACGACCGAGTCGCTCTGATGACCACCAATAGATTCAGTCTCCTTTCCACACGGCCTCAACAATTACAGTTGCTAAGATTATTATAAGGCAAGTTTAGTTACGCATAATCTTTATTAATAGAGATTTCTCGAAACGCAATTCAAAGTGCTTACACTGCACATTTTAAATGAAGATAACAGCGAAACAAAAAGGTCATCAGGAAGCATGACAAAACCAAAAAGAAATGAAAATTCAACAAGTACGGTAGCGGAAACTGCATACAAATCATTTTGACAAAAAGCAGAAACAACATAGCTTTAAGCGCAATCGATATTTCAATTGTGTGGAACACATCAACAAAAGCCTACATTAACATCTATTCACACAGAGGAACCAAAGTCAGAACCTCAAAGTTGAAATTTGTTTATATACTAATTTAAACTATTCAAAAATCAAAATCAGCACATATTTTAAGAGATTTAGCTCAAATGAAACATACTCCAGCAAAGTTGTGAATCAAAATCCAACTGACTTTCCATTGAAATTTGAGCAGTCACATTACGGTAGTTTGCGGTTTCCTCTGTGGGGTTTGTGGGATTTGTTAGGGAAGTTATAGTTCATTCCCATGGTGTCTAACGGGGTTTCTGTTGTGTTTTAAAGGTTACCGGGTGGTTGTAGGATCAGGAAACATGTGATGATTGTACTCATTGGGTTCTGCTGATTGCTGATTGTTGGCAATCAGAACCTATCATACTGTATTCCTGCACTCTCCAAGTGTCCGACGCCATCCGATTGCCTCCTGACTCTACGCCTGTCCTTCAACCCGTGTGGTTTTGTCCTGGCTGATCAGCACTCTCATTGGATTTATCTCCAGCCCCCCTTCAAGCCTTGCTCCTCTAGGAAACCTCATTCCCCCATTGGACCTCTGGCACCTGGACCTGGCACACCCTCACCAACTCCCCAGTACCTTCACCCTCCATCCTACCCAATAAACCACCTGTTATCCATTCATCCCGCAGTTCTGTGTCTGCTTTCGGGTCCAGTCCTCACTTGTTCCACAACAAAACGCAACTAGCAACAACCACACCAACGGACATAACACATAACTGAAACTGTCAAAACAAATCAACACTGTGAACAAGGGCTTTCCTCTTCTTACATCACAGTGGCAATTTGTAAAATGTCTTATTAAACAGCACTCACTGTGTCACTGTTTGTCATTTTAGACATATGCATGTGAGAAGACAAAAAGTAAAAATCCCTGGACTTCCCGTTTCAACTGCGATTATCTACACAGTCTGAGTAGTAAACAAATTATGAAATTTGTCAGCTAATCTGGAAAAAAAAATGAAGAAACATTCATTTTTTGCATAATTGCCCGTCAATCCTTTAACATTTAGACTGTGAGGTTCTGAAGTGTTTCCCTTGGCCTTACTTCTTATCATATCATGAACTGTGAGCCACTGAGGTAGTGAGAATCTTTCCAGATGTTGCTCTGTCCACAGTTGTTGGTTCTCCGCTGACACTGGGAGCAGCGCCTGTACTCTGTCAGTTTATCCACCAGGAGCTGACCAGCGAGCCTGTCCACAGAGAGACGGAAGGCTTCAGCATTTCCTTATTATTACACATTCTGACATTTAAGGATTAAAATGCTTAATTTAAGTTCCTCAGAACGTGGAAAGTTTCCATCCAAGTCATCCCCTGCAAACCTCTGGAACTTTTTCTCCTCGTCCTCACGCTTGTGTTTGAGTCTGATGCTGCGGCTCCAGTCGTCCTCCAGTGATTTGCTGATGTCGCGTTTCTTTTCAAAGCGACTGACGCGGTCCAGTATCAGCCTGGCCAGAAAATAAACTTTTTTTTCCTTTTGTTTTTTTTGTTTTTTATACACAGAATGTCCCCCTTTTTCCCCACATTTGCCGTACAGTTCGTTTGTGGAATTGATCCTTTCGTTTACTTACTCCATCTTGTTGTGTCTGAGCATTTCCCTTTCTTTCTCCAGCTGTAGCTGACGGATCTGCAGATCTCCCTCCTTCCTTTTAACAGCAGCACCAAAGTTCACCTGGAACAGCTGTCGGCATATCGAACATATCAAATCCACTTGAGCTTTGCTGAGAGCTTCCAGTAGAAAACAGGCAGTGAGAGGCCCGTATGAGTGGGATAATGGATGTAATGGACATCTGAGGTGACCTTCTGTGCCCTGTCCCTCCTCTCTGCGTCACTGACAGCTGTATCACAGCGGTTCAAGCCCAGGTTTTCATGCTGGCCATCTGGAGTTTCTGTGTGCTTCTTATCCTCAACCTAAAGTTCAATCAACAAGCTGATTTCAGATGAAAGTGTCTCTTCCAAAAAAGAGACAGATGTATTCGAAGTCGTACTCATGATTGACCAATTTATGAATAACTGCCTTCAGGGATGGTCCTGAATAACCATCAATAACCAAACAACCATAAAACAATTTCCTCTTCTCAAGAATATCCCAAACTAAATAACCCAAAACTCTCATTTGAAATTTTTGACATATTCTCCAATAGGCCATGCTTGTGCGTTGGACCAAAACAGTTTGGCACAGAGGAAAATTGCTTGTCCACAGAGCAAAAATGCTATTAAAAATAAAAACATTGAAATAAGTGAGTGGTGTCTTTCTACCTGAGTGTCCAGAGCCTTTCTGTACTGATGCGTTTTCTCCTGTTTTTGCTGAAGCTGCTGAGCCCTTTGCAAAGCCAACCTGAAAGCGAACGCACACCGGGACGCGCTCAACGTCTGAACGGGACACATTTGGATGCTCAGACCGTAACAGTTACTCACTCCTGGATCAGCTGGACCTGGTCGAGGTTCTCCGTGAGGTAACGGTCCCGATTGGTTTGAGCCTCGTGTTTCTTCCTGGTCTCTATCTGACTCTGGAGGCGGCTCATGTAACGATGCTGCTGAATCCTTCTGGGAGGCGTGACGGGCCGGCCCGGGAAAATGAAGGAGTTCTAAGGGACACCCGGTAGAGACTCTTTACCGAGGTCACGTTTGCTAAATCATTTTCAAGATTTACACACAAACAAGTGTTTTTTACGAGGATTTTTGTGGTGTGTCTGCAGTAGTTCAAGCAGAATGGCGAGCAGTGGAGAGCAGAACTCTTTGAGAGGAAAGAAGGTGGTTGTTTCTATTTTGTTTTGGTTCTGCTGCTTTTCTATGCAGGTTCTATTCTGATTAAGTTTTCTTTATTGGGTTTTGTTTGTAGGGCTTGCTGTTCCTTTCAACGTGAAACAACTTTTTCCCATCACCAGTCATTTCTCCCTGTTTTTGTTCCTCAGCCCGGGAAACTCTATCTTTACCCCACCAGAAACTTTGCACCAGAAACTGGTTTTCATAATAATTGGAGTTTAAAAAAAGGGTAATTTTCGTTTAGAAATCAATCGTCATGTGAAATTCACGTAATAACTTCATCTCTTTGGAATCTTTAACCTTTCCTTTGCTGACCACTCTCCCACAGCATTAGCAAGTACTGCTTCTGCTCTTACTGGCAGTCACCAGGGATTCGTGAGGTTCAGCATTCAGGGGAAAGGCTTCGAAATGTTCCATTCGTCACCTGATTCAGCCACAGTCCGTGGCCAAAAAAAAGGGGATCCCGCGGATGTTTTCAGTGGAGGAATTCCTTTGACAAGATTAAAGTTCATGTTCAAAATCTGTTTACTCACAGGAACCACATAAGACGAAGTCGTTCTCTTTTTCGATATGTTCAGGTTGAATGCGGCCACCTGCCTTGCATACGCTCGCTGTTCAGATACTTTTGCCTGCAGAAAGAGACATCATTTTAAATATATCACTTCAGATGATGAAAACTCGATACAGTTTAATCTTAAATGCTTTGATGTCTCATGTTAAATCACCACAAATGTAAAAAAACAAATTACCACAACCCACTGGGTCCACTCTCAAAGTAATATTTCAATATTAGTGTAATATTTGTGTATGTCTTGAACTAGCTAGTTAACTAAATGCTAACTTGCTACCTATGCTTAGCTGGGAAAATCATCCGATTAGATTCATCCCTGCAGCCAGCAGCTATTTGAGGCTTTTGACTTTGCGTTCTTCAGTTGCTCCATGCTCTGCATACTAAGCAATTATTATTTTCAGGAAAAAACAGCAAAAGAAACATCATTTAAAACACCACATCTTTTACCCTGTAAAAGAAACATGTTTATATGGAAAGAGTGTCTTCTCATTCACTACCAATCCAAGTTGGTAGTGTTTCAAAAGACCTAACCAAATATTTTCACGTTTTCAACTGTGGATAATAAAGATTTGCAAATCGTTGAAGTCCAAGCAGCAGGCTAACAACACACCAGCTCTCGCTCCACGTCCTGCTCGTCTTTCAGTTGCTCTTTCAGCAGTAAGATTTTTTCTTGCACTTTTTCCTTCGCCTGCCGCTGCTCGCTCAGGTACACCGGAACGTTTCGTTTTTCTCTCCGCTCGCACAGGTGACACAGCCCCTGCTGGGAAAGGTGGTCGGTTTCACATCCCGGACCCAAAGAGCAACGTCCGCTTTCAGTCTGACTCATCTGATGACTTTCTCAGCCTACTTTTATACACTATATTGCCAAAAGTATTTGCTCACCCATCCAAATTATCGGAATCAGGTGTTCCAATCACTTCCATGGCCACAGGTGTATAAATTCAAGCACCTAGGCATGCAGACTGTTTTTACAAACATTTGTGAAAGAATGGGTCGCTCTCAGGAGCTCAGTGAATTCCAGCGTGGAACTGTGATAGGATGCCACCTGTGCAACAAATCCAGTCGTGAAATTTCCTCGCTCCTAAATATTCCACAGTCAACTGTCAGCTGTATTATAAGAAAATGGAAGTGTTTGGGAACGACAGCAACTCAGCCACGAAGTGGTAGGCCACGTAAACTGACGGAGCGGGGTCAGCGGATGCTGACGCGCATAGTGCGAAGAGGTCGCCAACTTTCTGCAGAGTCAATCACTACAGACCTCCAAACTTCATGTGGCCTTCAGATTAGCTCAAGAACAGTGCGCAGAGAGCTTCATGGAATGGGTTTCCATGGTCGAGCAGCTGCATCCAAGCCATACATCACCAAGTGCAATGCAAAGCGTCGGATGCGGTGGTGTAAAGCACGCCGCCACTGGACTCTAGAGCAGTGGAGACGCGTTCTCTGGAGTGACGAATCGCGCTTCTCCATCTGGCAATCTGATGGACGGGTCTGGGTTTGGCGGTTGCCAGGAGAACGGTACTTGTCTGACTGCATTGTGCCAAGTGTAAAGTTTGGTGGAGGGGGGATTATGGTGTGGGGTTGTTTTTCAGGAGCTGGGCTTGGCCCCTTAGTTCCAGTGAAAGGAACTCTGAATGCTTCAGCATACCAAGACATTTTGGACAATTCCATGCTCCCAACTTTGTGGGAACAGTTTGGAGCTGGCCCCTTCCTCTTCCAACATGACTGTGCACCAGTGCACAAAGCAAGGTCCATAAAGACATGGATGACAGAGTCTGGTGTGGATGAACTTGACTGGCCTGCACAGAGTCCTGACCTCAACCCGATAGAACACCTTTGGGATGAATTAGAGCGGAGACTGAGAGCCAGGCCTTCTCGTCCAACATCAGTGTGCGACCTCACAAATGCGCTTCTGGAAGAATGGTCAAAAATTCCCATAAACACACTCCTAAACCTTGTGGACAGCCTTCCCAGAAGAGTTGAAGCTGTTCTAGCTGCAAAGGGTGGACCGACGTCATATTGAACCCTATGGATTAGGAACGGGATGTCACTTAAGCTCATATGTGAGTCAAGGCAGGTGAGCAAATACTTTTGGCAATATAGTGTATGTGATGTGCTATAATCTTGAACTCCCAGCAATAAAATATCAGACAATGGTATTCAGTTAACCTATTTTTCTACCACAAGCATGTGATTCAGCCAGTTTTGCCTTATTTCTAATATGATATATCCACTCAGAACCGAACCTACATTAATATACCTGTCAACATTTGACACATGCACAAACTTACCTGTCCATCATGAGTGTTGTCTGAGCAGCTCATATTCAGAAGATGTTCGGACGGTTTGCTGGACACCACTTGCGATGAGTTGGAGGTTGGGAGCCTGACGATGAAGCCGCGATCCTTTACTAATCAAATATTCATTATGATGCTATATTACAGTAAAGTAGAACTATTCTCATTTCTTATTGATTGAATTCTCCAAAGATGAACCCCACATGTATGTGCTTCAGGACTCTGAACATGAACCTCATACATCCCTACATTTATCATCTGAGCATCAAAATGCAAGCACAACAAAATGAGAAAAAATGACAAAATGGAAACAGGAGTTAGTCAAAAATTATGCAGAGGAGAAAAGTGAATAGATTTAGTGATTTTGTGGTTTAGTTGTACAATTATATCTAGAGGGTAAAACAAAGGAAAATAAAAAACATTAACCATGTAGATCAGATTAGAACGATAGCTAAAAGAGGAGCCCTGTGGTCAGTAAATGGTTAAAACAAGTGTGACATCTGTACTGATCTTTATGGGAGATTTCCAACATGGACATTGGAGATGTTCCGCGGAGTTTGTAGAGGCTGTTTTCTCAATTATTCTGATTATGATTTGAGTGGTTGGCAGTAAAGATTTCTCTAGAAATTCAGCTGATGTCATTTAAGCAAATTACCACTGCAGTAGATGGCTGGAATTTGAGAAATGTTAAGTCGGAAATTCGTGGTCAGGGTGAAAAACATTCCGATTTTACACAGATTAGAGGTACGTGTGTGAGTGTGTGGGTGGGTGGGTGTGTGTGTGTGCATGTGTCTGTGTGTGTGTGTGTTGTTGATGGAGCTGTAAGCTGCTTTGGGGCACTGACAACAGCAGAACACCGCAGAGCTCTCAGTTCTCTCTAACTCATCCTCCTGCAAACAGCAGATCAGTGTCCTGCAAGCTGAGCTGCTACCTGTTGCGTGTGTGTGTGTGTGTGACTGTGTGTGCGTGAGTGTGTGTTGGGTACTTGTTCGGGGCCTCCGCAGGGGGCTTTGGATTCAGTTCCTCAGTCAGGCCGACAGCTTTCACCTTGGCGGGCTGCATCGTCTTTCTAGATTCTGACTCTCTCTGTTTAGGAACCTCTGTGGAGAAACAAACCACGCTCTGTAGGTTTTGTTATGTCCTGCTTCCCCCTTCATGAGCCTCATATCTGTTACGATTAACTCTCTTCATTTCTATTCAGCGGCATCTCTATATACCGTCAAATCTCTGAGAGGTTTCATTCACCAACTCGGGTGCATTCGGCACTAACAAATCCCTGTTGCAGCTTGAATAATTTAAAAGAGCTGACAAGCTTGACCCATCCATCCATCCACTGTCCATTCACCCATCCACTGTCCATGTCGCTCAATCTTAGTAGGGTTGCAGGGGGTGCTGGAGCCTCTCCCAGCTGACACTCAGTACACCCTGTCCAGGTCGCCAGTCCATCTCAGGGCCACACACAGACGAGCATCCACACACAATCTGCATGTTTTAGGATGGTGGGAAGAATCCAGAGGACCCGGGGGAGAACCCATGCAGAGGTTTAAAGTATCATGGTTGCTGGGACTATCAGTTAATCTCCAACCCCAGCAAAAAGGAACAGTTTGATGTGGTATTTCATTTGCTATGATATTGACTTTTATATTCTAATATTGACTCTCATATTCATCTTTACAGCAGAAAAATTAATAAAGGAAAATACATAACCAGAGGGGCACTGTTTGGCCTGCTTATAAAGACAGAAACAAAAAAATTTGACCAGAAAGTCAAAATCAGATGTCATGAGTACGCACAATGACTGTAACTCTGGGTTAAAACAGGACAAATTCACTTTGATTCATTTTTATCACAAGCATCAAAACATGCTAAAGAGTTTTACAATCTATGAACTTATGTAACTTAACCATCTGCCTATCCATCTTGACTTCAAGATTCCAAACAAAAATCAATCAGAAATGGGCTTAGACGTCCGTTGCTGCAGCTGAGGCTGTGTCTTAGTCTCTTCTGAGCAGATTTAGATTTGGTTCACTAGCTTCCTTTCACACCACCAGCTGTCAGACCTTCTTTTACCTGCCGCGTCCCTCTGCTCCGCGGGGCCTCCGTCTTTGCCTCCAGCTTTGCCGTCGTTCCGAGGAGAGCGGAGAGCTGGCAGGGCGGCGCGGTCAGCCGTCTCCGGCCTCTGAGGCCCGGACGGCCGGTCGGACTGGAACCAAACGCCGTCCCCGGCAAAAACCCGAATCATCTCAACCAACGTCTGCTCGACACTGCTCGTGCACTCAAACATGTACAGGAGCTTCTTGACTCACGGCTTTGAGGCCGGTCCCCTGCCGGACGCCTCCGTCGGTGGCATTAACGAAGTCCCTGGTGAAATTCATCTGGACCTTTGGAAGGAAAGTCAAACCACGATCAATTTGATGGAACATCTGCCGTCAGCGACATGAAACTGTTAGAATTTGGCTAAAATGACTCATTTTAGCATAGTATGTTATAACATTATAACAAGCGGAGGATAATGGATGGATGGATGGATGTTATAACATGATCTATGTCAATTACTGATTGTTTTATTCTTGTTAGAACTTGACTTTTGTGTTGAAGTCTCTGGCTGTGACCACAAACTCTCCTTTTTCTCTTTCTCTCTTATTCTTTTCCTGTTGTATTAGATCCACGTCTTTAGGTCAACACAAACTCACACCATTTGTTACCACATTCCAATGTTATCTACATGAATTAGGACCTGGCCTGTTTATGCCCAGATGTAATTAGCCGATAGTACTTGGTTGTGTCCAGTCCTCCTTTCAAGAGGTGGACGTAGCCAAGGAGATAACGACCATCACACCCAGATTTTGGAGCTCTTGGCCGACTGAGACCCTGAGAGAGGTTTTGTCTGACCTAATAAATGTAAACTTCTTACTATTGATCTACTCTGGTTTATTCTCAGGTTTCCAACTAAAGAATCGGGATAACAAAAACCAATGTCGTAAGAGAGGACCAGGCACCTTGTTCTTCTTGAAAGACAGGACTCCTAGTCCCTTGAAGACGAGGGAGGTGTTTTGGTCGGAGGCCAGCGCTCTGAGGAGCAGCTGAAGGGTCTCCCTCACGCAGCCCTCCACCGCGTCTCGACTGAAAGGCGTCTTCTGGGAGACGGCCGCGAAGTTCAGCTGGACCACCGGCAGCCGCGTCACTGCAGAGGACAACCAGGAATTCATTCTGTCATTTTGTTTTGTCTTCTTCTTCTTCTCTTTAAATTCCTGTTTGTGGTAATCGGGCTCACCTGTGGCCGGCGGCCTTGTCTCCTTTAAACCTAAAGACCGGGCCAGTTTCCCAGCCGCGATGAAGACGGGTCCGTGGACCTTTCTGAACCTGTTCCCCAGGTACAAATTCTGCTGAGAGAGGGTGAAGGTACCCAGTCCTGACAGGCGGACGCCCTTCCATGAATGAATGAATCAATACACGCAATTCAGGGATCCATTCACTCATTTATAATAATGCACTGATGAATTCTTACCTTCTGTGAGGAGATCTGATGTTTAATGTAAGAGGAGATTTCGGCCCAAATGCAATCAATATCTGAGGGAAATAAATACGGTTTTGGGAAACAGGGTTTCACGCATGCATTAAACGTGCAAAATACAAGCAAAGAGCTGACCCCCTGTGTAACAGAGGGAAAGAGAAAGTTTCAAACCGCTTTTAGAGAGCTGGGAGAGAGTGGGCAGTGTCCGTCTGTCGGCTTCGGACGCACGCAGCAGCAGTTCAGCCATCGCCCCCCCCCTCTCCCGACGATCCTCTCAGGCAGAAGCCTCAAAATCCTTTCCTGGACGCTGCTTTCTCCGTGCTTTCACTCTCCCTCATTCCGTCACTGATAAGCCAACCGGGTCAGGCTCTGACAGCACAGTCCCGCTTGGCGCACAGCCAAAGACGCTGCGTAAAGGAAAACAGAACAGGTGTAATTCCTGGAAAGCGTAACCTAAGTGGAGCGCGTGACGCAGAGGTTTTGGACAGTTTAATACTGATTTAATTATGATAATTTGCGTGTGTGTGTGTGAATGTGTGTGTGTGCGTGTGTGTGGGAGGGGGGGGGGGCATGTTTAGGAATAAATCTTTTTTACACAGTTTAAATAAATCTCTTTTTCTTTACTGGAACAAGACATAAACAAACTAAAAGTAGCCAATTGGACCGTAGCCAATCGGAAGCCAACGCGTGGTATTTAAGGAACTTAAAGTCGTTGACTCTCAGAGAAGTCATAATGATACTGAAAATGCTTCTGGCTCTTCTGGTGACGCAGCTCCTGACAGGTTAGAGACACAAATATCTGAATATCTTCTCTTCTCTCTCTCTCTATATATATATATGTATATATATATATGTATGTATGTGTATGTATACATATATATACGTGTGTGTACATATATACCGTTTTTTATATATGAACACAGTTATATCTGTCTATGTATATCTGTATGTATGGCATAAGTGCAACAAGAGTGTTCATTGTGTCACAAAAGTTGCTTCCAGGGATTTTAGGAGGGTTATCTGAAGATAGAATACATGAAATAGTTTCATTTCTGCTCAAAGCACTCAGTCAGGTAAACAGGTTTGTATTTAAATCTAAAAGACACAATTTTCATACTCTAAGATTCATTAGAGGCTTCAGCTACATTTGGCGCATGTAATGTAACCATAGCAACAAAATCGGGAAACCAGAAAAAGTTAAATACAAGCAGCACAATATTGATTATAAAAAAAAGACTGATATTGTTTTCAGCTGAGAAAATGAAAATAAGGTTTCCTTTTTTTTGTTGTTAATGATTAGTAAAAAGATACTGGGTGGTTTAGAGTTCTCTGTCTGAATCAGTCACATATATTCACAAGGAATGTGATCATAGATTTTTCCATTTACACTGACAACATGCAAGATTTCTTCAAAAGCCAAATTTCTTCAAACCTAATTTTCTTTTGTATCATAAATTCCTATTAAATGTGTCAGTCTCATTCTCAGGTGCGCATTCGCTGAGGACCAAGTTGATATTTGCCAAGGAAGGTGAGATGGTGGCCCTGAACTGCCCTCAGTACAAAGAGGGTCATTCCCAAGTGGTGTGGACCGGTCACACCGGTCACACCGGTCAGCTGATGAATCTGACTGACACCGTGTCAGCACCAGCTGGACAGAGTCACCGGGAGGTGCTGATCACGGGAGGGAGCCTCATCATCCTCCGAGCTTCAGTTATTCATCAGGGGAATTACAGTTGCTCTCTTGGGTAAGATGCAAACACTTGGAAACTTGGTAATGTCCTTCTTGTATCACAATTAGGACATTAAAGTAATGGGAGGAGAATCTTGGTTCTTTTTCCTCTTGGTCTTTTTAAATCTATGCTCCAATCCTTGGAATTGTTTTTTAAACCATACGACATGGAGGCCTGTTACCACAGGGAGTCACATGGATTAATTCAGACCAACACTTTGGTGTGTGGAATCAATGTGTCACCCATATCTCCCATAGAGAAGTACTGCCTTGTCACGAAATGGTCCATAAGTCAAGACATGCTTCTTTGTCATCCTTCAGTAACTAGTCTTACCATAGCTGGTGTGGTCAACGTGTACCTTCAAAGAGAATTTGATCCATGCTTTAGCTTTTAAGAGGGAAAACCTTAATCCGAATACTTGACTTCCCTGTAGATCAGCATGACTTTATGAGAGCATGACTGCCTCCCTTCTTTATTCCTGAACAAATCTGAATGACGAAAACAACATCCCGGTGAACCCTGAAAATAACTTTTTGCCAACAAGTGTAAAGCTCATCGGGAAAGCCCTTTCATTTCAAATGTTTCGTTACCGTGGTCGTTTTAGTTTTTAAGCGAGACCTCATTTGATGTTCCAGAAATGCCAGCAGGAAGACCTGGTTCCGGCTGACTGTGTCCACAACTCAGTTCAAAGAGAATAAAGGGAGGGGGGAGTATCCCGCAACGTGTTACTCACAGGAGTCCTGCACATTGTATTGCCCTGAGGTGAATGTCCCTCGGGTCAATTCCTCCATTCTCAGCAGCGCCGGGACTACATGGCACAAGGTATGAAGACTCCAAATCTGGCTATGGGATATTAGAATTCCCTTCAAATGCTTCATAAGTTGTTAAATTTTTTTATAATAATGAGGATTAACAGTTTATAAACGTGTTTTTTCCTCTTGCAGAAGGGCCAAAAATCCCCAGCGGAAAGTCGCTTCATGAATGTGGAGGAGAAGGACAGTGGTGTTTACTTCTGTGTCCGCTCCTACCTGCACAGTGGGAAAATATACAACACAACCTACACCGTGATCCTTGATGTCAAACCAAAGAGTAAGAAAATCTAATTTGGAAATGATCTTTTCCGAAGGTTTTCAGTCTATTGATTGTTTAGAAGTACTAAAAATTTTCTTTTTTGTTGCACAGTACAAACTGGACAATCTGTGATTTCGTCACCCAAACAGAATGATGTCTTTTTTGTAGATCTAGGTGAGTTATCATCAAGCTTTACACTTAACACTCATCTGTTTAAACGAAGATGCCCCAGCAACTTGGACATTTAAGTTAATTGGTTATACTTCCCTTGAATCTATTACCACATCTTTTCCCAAGTTTCAGTTAAAAACTCACACATTAACTCCTTTAGAGGAGCAATTCGAGAGCAATGCAAGCTAATTTAGCTCTAAAATGCATTTTATTAATCAATAAACAAAATCAACTCAAATCAACTCCCATCCTTGTGGTTGCCACTTGTTTCATGTTTTAATGAAACTGGGTGGCTTTTCCTTTTTGAGAGTCCTCACGGCCACTAGATGGTGCACGTTCACGGACCATTTCTTCTGCTGGACTGAATCAAAGCCACATGGATCATTTTGGGGAAGAGGGTTGCCTCCTTTGAACTGAATCAACAGCAGACATTGTGTCAACTCCGTCTTGTTTAGGCTCCACAGTGGTGATTGGATGCAAAGCGGTGTTGTACTCGAGCTTCGACGATGTGTTCTGGCAAAGCGGGGCGTCGCCTATTGGAACTGACAACCGACTTCCAGTTTACTACAACTACTCGAGGTATTAAAAATAATTTTAATTTCACCTAGGCCCAAACCGGATCTTTGCACAAAAGCACAGTCACTGACTTTACTCTACTTTATTAGGATAAAACAGGATGACAAAACAGAGATGACGGCATCTCTGGTCTTCAAAAAAGTGTCAAAGGAAGATCTTGCAAAGAATTACACCTGCAAACTGGAATCCCACCACCAGCTTCCAACCTTCAGCACCATCACTCTGACTCAGAGAGGTAGGTAACAGATATAGTCACAGATTATACTTTTGAGAGATCTGTTTCAAATCAGCATTGCCTTCGTCCTGAGAGGCCTGTGCAGGCCTTCCTCAAAATCCTGCGGCACCAATGTCCAGTCACATGGGCTGTGGTAGACCAGTCGATGTCATGGTGACACTGTTATGATGTTTGATCAGATCGGAAAAGCTGCGGTGGCTGTCTGGGAAGATTTAGACACAACCTTTTCCTCCGTCATAGTTATTTCACAGCAGAGACTAGTAAATTTGTCTAATTATGTCTTGCATAGTTTACAGTATCTCTAAATACGCTAAAGACTGACATCCATTCGATTTTTATTCGAACAATCATGTTTATATATTTTATTCATAATGACTTTAGACATAGAGACGTTAGAAAGAAATCATTTGGTTGTCTAATCCAGAGAGATGCATTTAAATATTGAAGGGCGTGGGAAAATCAGATTTGATTATTTGAACAGTTTGCTATGAATGAAAATAGATATTACAAATGCATAATTCCAGTTCCCTCCCACCATCCACAGCCATGTATGTTGTGATGTGACGGACTGGTGACCTGATCGGGGGTGGGGGGGGGCACCCTGCTTCTCACCTTTGACTGCTTAAACAAGGGTCTTTTTTCTGTGTCAGGCCAGGCAAACCGGAGGCGGGGTTTGGCCGAGGTTTTTCTTCTCTTTAAGTTCTGGTTGGCGTCCTGACCAGCCGAAAAAAATCCTCAAAGTTCTCGTGGCGACATGCTTGGTTTTCATCAAACCTGACTCAGAGTCAAGAACCGAGAATGGGAACAACATCAAACCTCGTCCAACGCCGCAGTGAGACGAAGTCTGAAGTGAGAACAACAAAAGGACGTGTTATTTACTTTTTGGCACATTATGTTACAAGTAATAGTTTGTATTTAATCATTTCTAGCTGAATTTATTTATCATTATTTGAGATTAAAGCTTAGTGTTTTGTATTCTTAAAGAGATTTATAACATTTCATTTGCATTTCAATAAAAGCAATACCGTATGTATGACATAAAGACAGAATGCACTTTTCCTATTATCAAATCTTATTGTTTCTCTGCAAATCGTGTTTAAAAAAAAATATAAAAAAATAAAAAAATCCAAAATACTCTAGGTAATATTGATAAACAGATATTCTGGCTGATTTTATCATTTGTATTGTATTTATCCATATAGGATAGATAGATAGATAGATAGATAGATAGATAGATAGATAGATAGAT